ATGCCAATTGTATCTCTTTATTAATTGCTATTTCTTGAGGTTACTAAGGCCTATCGATTACTCAGAATAGCAGGGCCATATCAACCCACCTCTTAAATGATCTACATTGTGTCTATGATATTGTACACATTTTTTACAATCAATTAAGTAGACAGAATGTTAAACAACAGCAAAGTTACATACGTGCAAGGAGGGCAGTCACTACATTTGGCTCTGCACGCATGTCCACAGATGAGAATTTTCGGACACGGCTCTTCACAGTTGACATGCAGTCGGCCATTTTGGCACCGTCCACAGGTTCCTGAACAGAGGTGGCCACATTCGAGAACTGCACCACAGGCCTTTGGGCACTCAAGAGTTACCTCCCCTCGCGCTTTTCTGCATTCCAGGTCAAAGCTTTCATGGCCACAATGTTCTGGACGAACCTGAAATAATCCATTTGTGCAGCAACATGACAAAATGAGCCAGTATCTCGCATTTTGAAGATATGACATGGTGGGAATCAAATTATAGATAAAGCCTTACAAGTGCGTGGAAGAGTCTCACTGCTTTGGATCCAAAGTTATAGTCACGTAGAAGTTGGAGGGTCAGAAATGTACAGTTTAGAGAACAAATATCAAGATTCTTTAATCAGATATGTCGAAACAGCAACTCATTTTGTAACTGCACATTTATCTCTTATTTTGAAAAATAAAAACCCACTTTTTTGAGTAGTCGTATAACTCAGAATTACAAAAGAGAGAAATTGCACAAATTATAAAGATGAAAATAGCGGACTGAATTGTAAGAAGAAATAAATTAGATTGCCTCAAGAGATTTATTAAAATAAAAATAAACTAAAGATAAACTAAGTATGCAAACGAATAAAGAAAAGAGATAACCCATACAGGTACAGAGCACCATAGGGAAAGCCTACGATATAATATGGAAAAGTTGTTTTAAATCCTTCTGCACTGAATCAAAGGAAGCCACTTCACTGAAAACAAATAAAACAATTGAACAGCCATGCATCAGGACTCTGATGATTCATAAAGTACAGTATGTGTCCACCTAACAGCTACCTCTTTGGGAAGCAGGCCATGTTGCTGTTGGCCTTGCTGTTAACTGAAATTTTAAAGGGGAAGGGGGAGGGGGCTATTAACTTCAAAGACAATGATAGCCCTTACCCCCCCCCCCCCGAAAAAATCAATATCCTCCCCCACACAGGTTCGTCCTAATCCCAGAATGTGGTAATGTTGTTACGCAGTGGTAGCATTGTAACACACAATGGCCGAGACTTTTCCCCTAAGGCTCTTGAACTAAGGTGGCTCTTCACAAGAGGTGTAAACTAAGCTTCTATACTTAGCATAGTGCATTCTTGGCCCGAGCAGTTGTTTTGAGCAGATAAAATAAGAGAGGAGGGATGCATGCACAAGGCCAATTTTGGTGTTCACAGCTTTTGAACCTTAAAAAAAAATGTCGTCTTACAATTTAAAGCAGTACAGGTTGCTGCTGAAGAGCGGATTGTTTACATCAGAAAAATTCCATTACACAAGCTTCATTTGCAGTTAGGGCAGAGGCTGCTCATACCTGGGTTGCTGTTAAGCAGACACCATCGTATTCACAAAAAGATAGCAAAAAAGTATTTTAAACAGAACTCGAGGGGGAAAAAATACACATGGTACATTAATGAAGTTTTAAGGTTTTAAGCCTATTAGTAAAAATATAGGTCATGTCAATAATGGAACACTTATTCCCTCCATCAAGAAAACTGAGAGAAAACATTTGTGAGCCATCGTGGAGAAATCAGGCGCTCGTTAAATTAATAAAATCGATGATGCCGGCATTTTTCGATGGTTTGGCAATTTTTTTTAATCTTTTGTTTTTTAGATTAACACTTTTAAGTCCATACCAAAACACATTTCTATTTGAATTTATCTGAAAAACGTTAATCAAAGGCACAAAATATGTTATTTTCCACTTATGAGGGACTCACAAGCTATTAAAGTTACCGAAATTTAGCGGTTATTTTCTCGCTAATTTTACCACTGAAACCAGGCAACCCTACTTCCTTCAATCTCAAATATTTCGACTTCTTTTCAACATGGATGAATATTTTTTCACCAAAACAAAACAAAGGAAAATGTACAAGTTTTAAAATTGTATCAAAAACTAAACATGCCCAAAAATTGACGGGCGCTTAATTTCACCACACTGCCTCACATTTCTGAGAAACAGGAAAAATACTTGAGACCCCACTTAGATATGAATTGAATCTTAAATTTCAAAGAGAAAAAAGAGAAGTTTTTTATCTACTACAACTCTACAGTCGCAGGGGTTATATTTCTGTTTTAAATGTAGTATGTAGACTTTCATTGAAATGAAACATGTGGGCAACAATAAGAAGCATATTGGTGGTTAGGCTCTCAGACTTGCAACCTTCAGAGGCCTGATGTTGTATCTTTGGGAAAGGATTTCGTTTGTTTGAGTAAAGAGAAGTACAATAAGACACAATTATAGCCATTTAGTCCCCAGAAAAATTAAAACAAACAGACAGAAACAGTAAATGGAAAATAATAAAGAAGTAGGACCAACCAGTGGTGTCCTCCAACCACCTGCTTGAGAAAGGAAAAGATTGCAATCTACAGCTATACAGCAGCAGGAGTAAATATATATCTCGGTACAAAATGTAGAATTTCATTAAAAAGAACATGTGGGCAACAATATGAAGCGTCAGTGGCCTCGTGGTTAGGCTTTCAGACTCCCATCCATCAGGGGCCTGACATTGTGTCCTTGGGAAAGGCACTTTACACAAATTTTCCTCAATTCACCCATGTAGGAATGGGTACCCCGCTTTCAACAGTTAAAGATCTTGTAAATGTTTTAGTGTTTGAGTGCATGCAATCTGCAGCTTGCACTGTATGCTTCCCGGAAAGCTGAGAATGTCTCTGAATGTTCTAGGGTCTGCTGGGGTATTAATAGTAGTTGTAAAGCGTACAGAGCTGTATAAATACAATTATTATTAGTAGTAGTAGTATTATTACTATTATTGTTATCATTATCGTTATTTACTGATAGGAGCATAGAAAAAAAAGCCAAATTATCTCATACTAGTAAGATAGTCAAAGTGAAAATATAGCCCCCATTTTCCAACTGCTCGACTATGTGCAGAACATCAGGCATCATCGTACGGGCACAGTAATGTTTCAGTTATGTCCAGCCAGAACAATTAATAGCGAGCTGTTATTATAATTGTGATTTTTGTAGTAATATGCCACGTTTGACACTATTTTGATAATTTAGGAGGGAGGTTGCTTTGACCCTGCGTGTAAGGCTAACCTGGACTGAGAAGGATACATCCTGGTAGAAAGTAGAAAGACAGAATCTGCTGTAGTATAAGATGTTACTATTCACAATTATCATACCTTCACAAGAATGCTGCAGGCATTTCCTGAATGAAGATGAGGAGAGCCACACTGGCGGCCACACAGATGTCTACAGGGCAGCAACTGTTTACATTTTCCCTTACATTCAAACTGGTTGACCTCCATATAACACGGGACCAGTTGGTCATGACCACAATTTGGGATTCTCTTCTGAACCAGATTCTGGCACATCGTATGTCTTCCACACTGGTGACCTCCAGGGCATGTTTTCTGACACTTCTCACAGAATACGCCACATTGTTCAGTGCACTTAACATGCTTGTGCTCTGGATCATCTGTGTGGCAGACTCTTGGGCACTTGTGACCACAGTCCAGTCTAATACTACACGGTAGCTGGCAACCTCCTTCTGGAACCTTCTCGAAGTCATCCGGCCCGTTGATTGTAGTTTTCTGCTGGCGATGATGGAGACAGTAGTGGACAAGGGGCCCAATCAGCTCTTGTTGCCTTGCAATAGCCAATATTTCTTGAAACATTGTGCTCGATTTGCTCAAACCCAAAAAATTTCCAATCACAAACAAGCCAACCTTCGCACGAGAGAGAGCAACGCAAATTCGGTTATTCATCTTGAGAAAACCAATGTCATCATTTGGATTTGACCTTACCATGGAGAGGAGGACAATATCATTCTCTTCTCCTTGATAGTTGTCCACAGAGATCACCTTTAAACCCTTGACTCTCAAACCCATGGCCTTTGTTGGGGTTACTTCTTCCACTACTTTTTTGATCAAGTGAACTTGGCCAGCATAGGGAGACAGAATGGTGATCTGCTTTGAACAGTAGCCCTGATGAAGAAGATAGAGTAGCAGTTCTGCCAAGTAACGTGCTTCATACCCATTGCAGTAGGTTTTTGTGTCTTCCTCCTGACTTTCCATGAAATCATGGTGGATAAAATGAACATCTCTTTCTAACCGAGACACATGCTCAAAGGTTTTGACACTTTCATGATCAAGCAGATCAGGATACAGATCCTTAACCCTCAGAAGCTGGGAGATCTCAGGCCTCATGCGATGTTGGTACTTCAAACAGTCAAAGGGAAACCCATTGTTCACGAGCCTCTCAAAGAGTGAAATATCAAAGCCATAATCCGTCTTCAGTTTGTGGACGGATGGATTCGGTCGCAACTGTTTGTGATCTCCGATGAGAATGACATGCTGACTTTCAGCACTTAGAGAGGTGACAACATGGCCCTCAAGAACTTCCGCAGCCTCTTCCACGATGACAATCTTAGGGCCGATCTCTCTTAAAACAGCCTGGTACCTTGCTGCTGTCGTGCTGGTCATGCCAATCACAGTGGCCTTCTCCAGAATCGCCTTGTCCTCTTGGTGTAGAATTTCTTGATAGCGTCTTGCCAACCGCTCAAACTCTTGAGACTTGTCTCTGATCTCTACACGTAGCTGGCGACAGTAGATATCCACCCAATAACGATACAGTCTCCATCTATCACTCCTCCTGATTCTCCAGGGATTGTAGATCTGCAATGCCTCTTCCTCATCCACCATGTCTGTTTTCTGTAGATGTCCAAGTAATATCTGTTTATATTGCTTCTTCATCTGGGCTATATCTCTCCAGTGCTTTTTTTCCTCTTTCTTAAGATTCCGGGGCATTTCTTCATCACCATAGTCACTGATATTGAAAGCAATATTTTTATTGCGGATCAATTCAGTGAACACATCAACATCATCAAGTTTTTTGTTGACCTGTCTCACTTTCTCAAAATGATCATTTCCCAGTCCATTGAGAAGCTCGTCAAATAAATCAGTGTCTTCAAAAATCTCATCTTGATCTGAATCACTATCATCCACATCCACACTCTGCATTCGCTGCACTTCAGCATCAACTTCCCCAAATAGATCAATGTCCAGATACTCTTCATCTTCCTCATTTTCAGGTTGCACCATTGCACCTTGACCATGTCCAGTTTGTCCCTGGATCTGTCTGTGGACATGTTCACCTACTGCACCCATTTGGAGCCTCTGTCTCCATTCTTGCCAATATCTCTCTTCATTCTCCTTATCATAATCGGACATTCCCAACCATCTGGGAATGACTGATTTTCCCCTTTCCGTTTTTCTTGTCAGTTGATCAAAGTGCTCCTCATGTATAAATTCTTTCAAAAAGGACTCTGTGACTATCTCTCTCTCAAGGATCTCAAGCTTTGCTGCTTCCTTATGAATATCAGCTTTGAGTTCTTTCATTTTCAGCCTGACCTCCATTTTCCCAAGATGAATCTCCATAGGAACAGTTCTGTTTTCTCTTGCCCTGTTGCGAAAGCTTCTCAGGTTGTACTCTTCCAAGACCTCACTCTTACTTCTGGAACCCACTCGCACCAATTTCCCTTTAAAAAATTTCAAAATTCCTTCCAGGAACTGGTCAAGTGCATGATTTGTGTAGCAAACAAGCAGTATTGGGTTGGACTGTCCCTCTTCATCAGTCCAGACATGTTTATTGTGGAGCAAAGCTTTGAGCACTTTGAGCCCAATGTACGTCTTTCCAGTGCCAGGAGGGCCTTGAATCACAGAAAATTCTCTTGTGAAGGCAGACTGTAATGCAGCAAACTGAGAAAAGTCCAGGTTAAACACATTTGAATGGGGCCATGAGTCAAAATCCTGGACCTTCACAGCAGCTACTAATTGCGCCTCCCTTGAAAAAGTGTGAACCTCGTCATTATTTTCCTCAATGATGTAGTCATTATCAACAAGAGGTCGCAGGTCATACGTGACATCAGCACCTCTCTCCTGAAGATACCTCGGGGGACCAACCATAGGTCTGCACCTTCCAATGTATGGCCAGAAAGGAAAGCTCTCTTCTGTTATGTTCTGAAGTCCCTGCAAGACATACTTGTATGCTTCAAAGTATGATGGAGACTCTACCATAACATATCTGCAATTTCGGCTTTCTTCAAGCAGTCTCATAAATTCTTCTTGTCTTGCAGCATTTCCATTTGCCCCGTGCCCACCTACAATAAACTGAACATCTACAAGGCCTAGAGCAAGGTCTTTTGCCTCTCTCTTCTCCACAACAGCACATCGGTATGTGGCAAAGTTGTCATTTGACAAGCACAGCAAGGAACCATACTTAAGTCTTTGTGAAACTGCCCACTTTACACGTAGCTTGGAAACATCAAAGGACAGCCGGAAGCTAAGTCCTACATCATGACACACTGGTCTCACTATGCGCACCTGTAGAGGGAAAAAAAACAAACAAGAAATGATAAAGCTATCACAGAATCAAAATCTCCATTTGTTGTTTGTTTGAGTAAAAAGAAGAAAATGGAAACAATAAGAGTCATTTAGTGCTGGCAAGACAGGCACACTGAAGCGTAACAGGAATAATGAAGAAGTAGGTCTTAGTACTGTTGATGCAGAGTTGGGCCTATAACCATTGCAAGGTACTGAATGACTTTCCAAGCAAGAAGTTTTGGAGAATCTGAAATTATCCTTTGAGTCTAAATTTCAAACCACATAACACAAAAGAACAACAAAGAAATCAGGATATCAACAACACTGAAGAATAATGTCTGTTTTTAATCCACAACAAACCACAAAGGAAAAAAGAGCAGAAAACAACCAACCTCAAGCAAGAGGTTGTGCTACCTTTCAGACAGATGTCAGAAAGCACAATAAGTTTTAAATACAGTCGACCTGCCATGACGGCCTCCTGTACAAACGGCCACTTTCCATTTCCCCCTTGCGTTTTTCTATATAAATTTAACTGTGTAAAACAGGTACCTGTCCAACACGGCCGCGGCCACCCTATCTTATCAACCCATGACCAAATTCAACCTCTGTCTAAGACGACCAGATTTTCTAAAAAAGTATGCATTTTCCTCTGATGTTGTGGACAAGCCGTCATAATCATAATTCATTCACTGTCGTTGTTGTCAGTCCCTCCAATGGCTGAAACGGTCATGTTGCTTAGATCACTCCCAATGTTTACCCAAGTTGACCAATGGGTAACAATAAATTTTAGCTGTTGGTAAGGGAAGCGTGTGATCTGTCATAACCTATAAGGCCCGCCCACAACTCACTCCGTAAACTGAGTCCATAACAAAAGAAGTCAACACAAACTCGCAACAGAAGTATCGCTCGTTCGCCGAGTGGTGGCTACCCATTTATTTGTTTTACTATGACACTTGGCCTTCCTCGTCTGACACATTTCGTTTTGTTTTGACCTTTCCGGGAACCATAATTTAGAAATAAAAATTTAAAAAAATTTTTAAAGTCCCTCAAAAACCATCCTATCCTCTCCCCCCTTTCAAAAGAAATAAAACAACAACAACAACACATTTTAATCAGCCCTATGGCAGTCCTTAGCATGCAACCACCTTCAGTTGGGACCTCAGAAGTAAATAGTTTGTTTTCTTTATTTTGATCAGTCCTGCCTAAGATGGCCACCTGTCTTATACTTATACGGCCACTTTTCCCCACGACAATGCGTGGCCGTCTTATACAGGTTCGACTGTATACAGTGGCGAAGCGTCTATATATTCAAATAATCACTTATTCCCTTCCTAAATTTGAAACATGGCTGCAGTCAAATTCCCCCTTAGACGTAAACCTCATAAATTAAATGCAAAAAGACGCTCATAATCACCAATGAACAGTATGCCTAACATTCAAAACGGTTTCATTGCCACAGAAATAGCCTGTTCACCCCTATCGAGCCACTCCATAAGCAGTCGCAAGCTTTGATTAAGTAAGCTTACAGTGAGGCTGGAAGAGTCTTCCAAAAGAGTTGAAGGGAACATGTGTGCAACAGTGAAAACTGTTTCATTGCCAAATATACCCTGTTAACCCCTTTCAGGCCACAGTTATAAGCAGTCACACGCACTGATTATGTAAGCCAACTATTACACTGGTCAAGTCTACCTCACAGATGTGAGGGGAACTAACTCCTATTAATATTTTGACTGCTGCGAGTATTTTTTTTTTTCCTCGACTTTTTACCGTCCTATAATCAGATCATGACCTCGATTATGACACCGGCTCCTGGCCGCGAAACGCTAGAAAAAAACAGGCAATGTTCTACCAAAGGGTTTAGTCTCACTGGTATTACATACAATAGTACTGAGATCTCTGCTTCTTTGCTTTGTGTTTCTAAAGATGAATTTAATGTTTGTTGGAATAAATATTTAATGAGATACTTTCCCGATTATTTTAGCGGTTGAACATGTATACAACATGAATTCAGGATTTGTTTTCATTCACAACTCAGTGTTGCCGCCTCGAGTAAAATTCTTGTGTGATATCTCCAGGCCCTATCTGGTCCTATCTCACTTTGATTACCCTGTCAAACAAGTCAGCCTTCGCCCCTGACTGTATAGACATGATATCTACAGGATATGCTACCACTCACTTGAGAGTACACCCTCATTCCTTTGAAGTGATGCTTATATTGTTCTCCTCCGTGACCCTGGAACTCGAGAATGTTTTTCCGCAGTGGAAGGATCAAGTCAGCCCGCAAAAGTCGGAACTGAAAGAGTGAAAAAGTAGTAAAATAAATTTGCTTTAGTATGATGTAGTTCTCACGTTTGTCCAGATTCATTTCAATAAATTTTCTCCAAAGTATTCTCGAATCACAAACAAATTTGAACAAACACAAATACAAATGAATCTTTGTTGATCATACATTAAAAAAAACAACAGATCAGAGCTGTCAATAGAGCCATACATTTTCTAATGGGTCATCTGATCAATGCCTTCATTTCATAGGTTCGGATTTTAGGCATTCATTTCACTAAAAGCTGTACATATCACACTCAGGAAACCTTCTTAACTTATTTACATTTTATTTAATTCAAATAAATGTATGCAAACAAATATTGAACACAAAATCAATTGACATAAATTAGTGAAAGCCCAAAAAAATAACATGTAATGTTATGTTTTTCTGTTTGACCATTATATACTGAAAACATCCTTAAACTCACAGAAAGTTATGACTTAGATTTGTGACCACGCCTCCCTTAACAAAGAAACATGAAAAATCATTCAATTAAAACTGACAGAACAAATATTTAAAATAGTGATAATCTGAAATTAGCAATAATGGGTAACGTAGAAATGCTTCTATTCTAAAGGAGCATCCCAGTTTTACATCAGTAGAGCATAAAATAAAAAGCCATTGTTATTACTAACAAGTGCAATAAACAGAATTTTCCATAAGCTTTAAATTAAGAATCCAAAATAAACTACAACATTAATCATGGCAATGACTTCCTACAAATGAAAGTAGAGAAAATATTCTCAATGCAGCTACATACCTGAATGTCCAAATAGTCATTCACGTTGTCATAACCTCCAATAACTTTATTTGCTCGTAGTTGAATGTCTTGTTCAGGGTCAAAGTCAGCAGCTGTTGGAATAATGCTCAGCCCTCGAAACAGATCGGGGTCTACATCCGCATCATGCTGCAATATCTCTTGCCTATGTTGTTCTCGTTGCTCTTCTTCGACACGTCGGAGAGGAACTTGCATAAGGGTGCTCACATTTGTAAAAAGGCTTTGCACTCCAGCATTGCCAGCATATCTTTCTGTAACGATTCTTTCAAGAACTTTCTCTAAGTATGATAAAACTCTGGGTGCTTTGTTGGGCAATTTTTGTAGAGCAATTTTCATCACGTACAAAAGTGCTGTTAAAGACAAGGTGTCATAACCAAGATCGTCCAGTACTTGTGTTTCAAGGATTTCAATAAAACTGTTTGAATTCAAAAACGTTTGCACAACATCATTCACTCCTTCAGCTTGTGCCACATTACTGTTGTCCAATGCTTTACTCAGAACTTGCACAATCAGTCTTGTGTTTTTGGTATCTTGGGTTGTATCATTTAAAAGTCTTTGCAGACTTTCATCTTCACGAGAGATTCTTTGGAGAACTTCTGATGCAGTTTTGTCTTTCAGCATAGTCTTTAATTCCAGGGAACTTATAGGCCGTGTGCGTTTTTGTGGCGTCCTGTAAAAACACACATATACTGTGAGTGTGAGACAAAATAAAGTAATTAAAAGGTTTTTAGATTTCTTCCATATTTCTATTCCTTGTCAGTCTCATAGGGATGTGGCATTCAAGAAAACACCTTTTCTCTATATATTCCCAACCCCCCACTCAACCCCTCTCACTTTGACAAAGACCTCTAAGTGTTAATGGGACTTTCAAAACTCAAACAAAAGAAAACAGGAGTACAATCATTTTTTCCTCAAAAACACATCACTTGAGAAAGTAGCCTACCTTTCAGTAGACTTTCTTTAGTTTGAAGCCGTTTAACATTAAATTTCTTTTACCATAAAGGATATCAAATCCCCATTTATTTTGGTGTTTTCCCCCCTCTTTTCATTCTTCGCACTGCAACTTCCCTTAAGGAGAGGTAGCTATGCTCAGAGAGCCAGTTTTAGTTTCAACAGTATTTATGCATCGTTTTTTAAATCTATTTGATGTTCCCAGTGAAACAACCAAAATCTGTGGTGTAACGGTGGGTGCTTTGCTGTCATACACAGAAGACCCGACTTTAATTCCCGAGACGGTAGAACATTATTATTGAATATCTCAGTCTTTCCGCTGGGGTTTATTCCTTTCAGCTCAGGCTTGCCCTGCCAGGCAGGGTCGAAAGCCCGCCTCTCAAATGATTTAAATTGTGTTGATGGGGGAAGTACAAACAACTACATTAAAACAAAATTTTTCCCTGTGATACAGTGATAATTGAGTTAATTTTCGTCGAGTTCCATCATTAATTTTCGGTTCTGTGAAATGAGGTTTTATAGTAAGGGAGGCTGCAAAAAAAACATCGAAAATGATTTCACAATTTCCCATCTGAAAAAATGTTTTTCTTATATTTACTACCAGTACATAATATTTTTCAAGTGCCTATTCTCTAGTCCTTTGAATTTTGAACTATCAAGGTTTTACTTATATGCATACCTTTGAGTAGCCTGGATTGATTTTAAATAAAATTAAGCATTAGCAGAAAAAAATTATAAATGTGGTTCAAAATTTACCGCAGTTTTTAGACTTGACCAACCAGCCAACTAAAATAAAAATGGTACATAATAATCATCTGATGTATTCGACACAGTTGAAGTGCTGCTCTCCACAACCCCCCCCCCCCCCCCCACCTCCCACCCCCCACCCCCAACTCATCACATATATGCACATCTATTGAAAATCAACCGACAAGTAATATCAACATCCTTTGCAAAACAATATTGATCAATCAGACCTTGCATGATCGCATTTTCACCATATTTTATTACTTATAAAATGACTTTGAATTCTGCAAAAAATATTATAGTCAAAGGTGAAATTTACTCACTCACTACACAATTTTCTACTCTTTTAGAGATGTAATTATCTCTGCCGGCAAACACCTGTACAGCACAGGCATTTATTTTTGTCCTTCGATTTCCTTATTTGTTCAGCAAAGTATAACATATTACAGTAAAATGAAAGGAAATTGAAAAGGGAATTTGGTGGGGGGGGTTTAATTAATACTTCAGACAAAAACGTGAAGAGGGATATTATTTTATTATTTTGAAAAGTGAGAAATTTATAGAGGTGTAAAGTCAAGCAAATGATACAGCTCATGTAGTGGCACAGAATTAAATGCTGAGCCAATCAGTCAGTTTATCATATTGAAATGAGTTGAACAAAAATTCAAATTTAGTGACAAATGGCAGATAATATGCAAAAAACAAAAATCCAAAATAAGGTGAAATTGGAGTATAGGTCTCTAGGTCTCTGGTTACTTTATTAAATGTCTGCTTTAGCATTACCTTCTCGGGTTCCTTTGGGGACCATTTCCCCTGAACGCCCCTTTCTCGTCCATGTCTGCAAATTGAATGTGTTTCAAGCTGTAAAAGCTGAGGAGAAAAAGCAGCCTAACACATCTACTCTAGGCATCAAGGTGCATAGGTGCATGCAGAAAACTGTTATAAATAAATTACAACCTCCCCCCCCCCCCCCGAAAAAAAAAAATTTGACGCAATTCAGATCTTATACAGTGGAGTCCCCTTATAACGAGTCCTGAAATAACGAGAAGTCTGCTATAAAGACACTATTCTAAAACCCTGTTTTTATCCCTTTTTTTATCTTTGTAATTAAATACTGCTATAGCGGAATCAGACAAACACTCGAGTCAGTTATAGCGGAATATTGCCGCTGCTGTCCACAACGCATAGGCCATGTAAAACTTCACCAGTTGAGAAACTTGTTGGTGATCTAGTGAAAAAAAGAATGGTGGAGAGCTCACGTGTGCCAACAATGAAGGCCGGAACGAAAGAGTGGGGAGGGTGTGGGTGTGGCATGCCACGACAAGCAGAACGCATCGCGAGTTAGCCAGCCCAGACTAGATTATCTAGGCCTACCATGCCTCTCACTTCTCCGATGCGGGGATGGAGAGGTCATAGTGCTGTGATGGATGGAGCGAATGTGTGACGTGGGCAGGGCGTTGTATGTACCCATGTGCACAAGCAGACTGAACGCACCACAGAGTGTGGTGGGGTGGGGGACAACACAGTGCTCGAGTTAGACTAGAGCCCTTTCTTTCTGATCACCAACGCTGAGCTGTCACCATTGCTAGCGCTAGAGAAAGACACCTGATTCGATTTTTGATCAAGTAAGACCTTGAGGTCATGTTGAACAAAAGCATCATCAGGGGAGATAACAAAAAGAAATAAACAACACCAAACTCATAGATTAGGCCTACTTTATTATTTCCCTTGAATGTATTACTGGATCCCTTATAACGAGAATCCTGCTATAACGGATATTTCCCACCAGTCCCCTCTTTCTCGTTATCACAGGATTCCACTGTATGAGATGTGGGCTTCATAAACGTCATTCAACTTGAACCCTGCTTGATCAGAGCCAACCTGGGCTGAATGTGATACAGCATTCCTACTAAGAAAAACTTGATAAAAATATCAACTGCTCACTCAGCATAATGCTCCATCATACGTTTATAAATGGCGACGTCTTACACCATCGCCTCTCATTCAAAGGTCCCGGGTTCATCCGAGTAGCGACAGAAAAATTTTCTTCTCTAAAATTATCTCCTTCCACCTCCTTTCCTGCTCTCTAGCAATATTCTGTCGTCTGCTTTCGACTCCACTTTCTGCCCCCACCCCCTCAACTCCTTTGCCCCCTCCTCTGGGCAAATGACTCTTTCAGCAGCCTTTCTACTTTTACTCCTTGGCTCCTTCTAATTAATGCTGATTTTAATTTCAGCCACACCCCCGATCTTCTGGTTGGAAAGATCTACACCTAGCCTTCTCTAACAAGTGCGAAAAACCTCATAGGTCCCGAGTGCAATTTGCACACGTTAAAGATCCCTTGGGGGTCTAAAATCAATAAGAGTAGGCTTCGGCCACCACCCGGGCAAGCTTCAAAGTTTCCAACCAACTGAAAATGTTTAATGTGTCCCGCACGCTCATATGACCTTATGCAGTTGCAAGCTGTGTAAAACATTTACCAAAAAAAAAAGAAAAAATTACACTAAGCAGTCGATATGCTTCCCACATATGCCAATTGAACTCATATCAATTACGCAGTGTAAACGGTAGTATAAACCAAGTCCAATGAACTCATTTTAAGACAATAAGGGAACATTTAATTCATCGATAAATGCTCGTGAATATTTCATGCATTTGCAAATAAAACTTACGACTATCAGCGGTGAACCATCTTCGACTTCGGGAAAACTATCACCACTCTTTGCAGTTTGGTAATGATAGATATCGTAAGACTAAGATGGTGGCGTTACGAACGGTTGGTGACGGCTCCTGTCCGAGTGAAAAACTGAAGCCGCTCTTCGTAGAAACTCGGATTTTCCACTTAGCCTATGAAATAGCCTCGGTGCTTTGTTTACGAACAGCAGGAATCGGGAGAAGGACTCGATACCAAATTATTATGCCTGTACTCACGAACGTTTCGAACATCGGCATTTTGGAAAGGATATATATCATGCGGGAAAAGCTATATATATATATATATGGTATTGCATAATTAAAATCATTATAATTTCGAAAAAAAGAAGAAGAGGACTGTACGTGGTGCTTTCTAAGGTTTTGAAAATCGGTGAAATATTATATTCAGAGATGGGTGAAAGTTTGGCTTTAATTTACTTTAAATTAGCCTACTCATACCTCATACTGCACTACAATGTGAAAGTTATTTCATTGAAGGGCAGAATTTGCCTTGCTGTTTCTAGTCCTCCAAATAAGATAATTCTTCTTGATATCAAGGACAGAGTTGAAATGTTCTTTTTTTTAGGGGGGGGGGGGGTGAGAAAATATATTTGTAAGCCAAATACATAAACAATGGTAACTTATATCGATATTATATTGATTCGATGCTGGTAGCATTTGTATGGTAACCGAAACGTGTGTATTTTTATCGATGACGTCGATGACCACTGTTTGCTTTCCTGGAATATGCGAGGACACAACCACGTGACTATTTTTACCTCGACAATGCCTCGCACAAGTGGCAAGTGGAATGTCGAACACCTATCTACATTAGATCTAGATCTATAGCCTAACTATAAGTTGAGACTAAATTATTTATGGCCATTGGAAAATGAAATCAGCCATGAAAATGCTATGCAACATATTTATGGAGTGGTGGGAAATACATGAAAGCAAAAGATGGTTGACAGAAAAATGAAATAACAGACTAAATTAAATGGGTCGGTATAATTAATTATTGAATCTGTGCAGTGCATCTCTCTCTCTTTCTCTCTCTCTCTCTCTCTCTCTCTCTCTCTCTCTCTCTCTCTCTCTCTCTATCTCTCTGTCTCTCTCTCTCTCTTTCTCTCTCTCTCTCTCTCTCTCTCTCTCTCTCTGTGGGTGTGTGTGTGTGTGTGTGTGTGTGTGTGTGTGTGTGTGTGTGTGTGTGTGTGTGTGTGTGTGTGGTATGAATGTATGTGTGTTTGTCGGTGTTTACAACTGCTTTTAACATCCTTTAGTTTCAGTTTCATTTCCAATCGCTATAGGTTTAGCTGCACGTCGTTTATTTACCCTAATGTTTATAATGTTACGGACACAACAGCTTGTTTAGTAAGTAATCTAGATCCTTGGCCTAGGCTATCTTACTACATTGTATACATACTATCGAACAAAGACAAAGATAGCCTATAGTGGTCTTGGCTACCTTGGTACGACAGTGCCGGTACATGGAGTACAGTGCCCAATAAGATGTCTATTATAGCTAGTACCCTAGCTACCCCTTCGTAGATCTAGTTTTCGAGTGTGCGTGTGTGTGTGACAGAGAGAGAGAGAGAGAGAGATAGAGAGAGAGGGGGGCGCAGGGTGGGTGTAGAATGAAGGGTTGGATTGTGAGCACTTTACAGCCCCCTCCCCCTTTCTTACAGGAAAGGCATTATAAGAGGGTAGCCGGTATTTTCACGACATGTCGTGGAAAAAATCTACGCGCATTTTCACGACCTGTCGTGGAAACAAAAGGGGCTATGCGTGTTTTCACGACATGTCGAAGACAGGCCGACACTTAACGCAGAGGTCTAGGCCTGGACCTATTACTTAAAATAGAATAGTTTGGGTTTTTTCGGTAGATCTAGACATAGGTCTAGTTTCCGATTTTGGACCTGTTCTAGTTCTACCGCCATTCTGATTAAAATGTCAAAACTACTGGATTTGCGATGGGTGACGAGAGTGCTTTCAACATTCCCTTGCGAAACCCGTAGTCTACATACCGAAATTCTGTACTTGCCGCATCATCATCTATGCGGCAACATGTGTTGTTGTTTTTTTTTACTTTGAAGAGAGAGAGAGAGAGAGAGAGGGGGGGGGGGGGAGAGGGAGAGAGAGAGAGAGAGAGAGAGAGAGAGAGAGAGAGAGAGAGAGAGAGAGAGAGAGAGAAAGAGAGAGAGAGAGAGAGATAGAGAGAGAGAGAAAGAGAGAAAGAGAGAGAGAGAGAGAGAGAGAGAGAGAGAGAGAGAGAGAGAGAGAGAGAGAGAGAGAGAGAGAGTTTAGTTTTAGTAGGGTAGAGGTTTTACGGCTCTGAATTTTTTTTTAAATTGTTATAATAAATAGTACAGTGAACAAAGAAACGATGCTTCCATGAAGTGAAGACCATACATCTGAACAAGTAGATGTTCATGATATGATTGTAATACTCTGCAGAACCATCCGTTTATTTGTATCGGCCTCGAACTAGGCAAGGTCAATGTCCCAGTTATTATACAGTAGAACACGGCTATATCGGGACTTTTGGTTCCAGAAGAAAAAGCCCGCTGTAGGCAAGTTCCCGCTATAACAATGCAGAGAGGAATTATCGAAAAAAAAATTTTAAATCAACATTATTACTAGGTACCAGAAACTAAATTTCAAAGTAGCGGTATGTCACATTTATCTGTTCCATACCAAAGGCCTAGACCTATATCTCCTGAGAATGTTGATACCATTCTTTAACCTCTCAGTCAATTTTTAAGAAAATGGTAGCTGTTTTAAATATGACCAAATTTGCTTAAGTTCACTAACTGGCTGCAACCCCATGTTCGACAGATAATAAAACAGTACCAAGTGCACCAAACATCTCCACATTAAATAGAGTACAATCACTATAGCATAGATCAGATCATTGCAAATCAGTATTTTATAGCGACAAACACGACGATCTGTCGTTATTTCGACTAAAAAAAACACCGAGCGTTGATCCGGCCGGCGCCGCACCGACCCCCGCGGCGAGCGACTCGGCTCAAAACTGATCAGTGACATGTACCGAGTGCTCCCCACACGGGGGGGGGGGGGGGGGGGGGGGGGGGGGGG